TTCACATTCAGGATGGGATCATCAAAGTAATCAAGGGCGCGCTTGTTGTGATGAAAGCTGAAAAGATAGCGGCCAATCTATACATGCTTAAAGGAGAAACACAACTACAAGTAGAAGCAGCTGTTGCATTAGACAATCTTATAGAGGAATCAACGATGATGTGGCATCAAAAACTTGGCCACATGTCGGAACGAGGTCTAAAGATTCTTGCTGATCAACATCTTCTTCCGGGGTTAAAAAGGGTTTCATTACCTTTTTGTGAGCATTGTGTTACAAGTAAGCAGCATAGATTGAAGTTCGAGAGCTCTAAAGCAAGGAGCAAGGCTATCTTGGAGCTAATCCACTCCGATGTTTGGCAATCACCGGTTATATCCCTGGGAGGTGCAAAGTATTTTGTATCCTTCATAGACGATTATTCGAGGAGATGTTGGGTGTATCCAATCAAGCAGAAGGCGGATGTATTTGAAGTTTTCAAATTCTTCAAAGCGCGTGTGGAACTTGAATCCGAGAAACGGATCAAGTGTTTGAGGTCGGATAATGGAGGGGAATATACAAGTGATGAGTTTGATAAATTCTGTCTACAAGAAGGTATCAAACGGCAGTTCACGGTGGCGTATACTCCACAACAAAATGGAGTGGCAGAGCGGATGAACAGAACCTTGTTGGAAAGAACAAGAGCAATGTTGAGGACTGCAAATTTGGCAAATTCATTTTGGGCTGAAGCAGTCAAGACCGCCTGTTATGTGATCAATCGATCTCCATCAACCGCAATTGATCTGAAAACGCCAATGGAAATGTGGACGGGTAAGCCATCTAGTTATTCTCACTTACATACATTTGGGAGTCCGGCATATGTGATATACAACGCCCAAGAAACATCAAAACTTGATCCAAAATCAAGGAAATGTGTTTTCTTGGGGTATGCTGATGGAGTGAAGGGGTATCGCCTGTGGGATCCCACTGCCCACAAGGTTATCATCAGCAGGGATGTTCTATTTGTAGAAGGGAAGGTACAAGAAGGTGAAAGCACTGGGAAGGAGAAACCAGTGACAACTACAGTACAAGTTGAGGGAAGGAAGGAAGAAGAAATTCCAGTTTCCCCTGAAACAACAATAGAGCATGATGATCAAGATCAAGCTGAGTCTTCAACTTCAGAAGTTCGACGATCAACTCGGGAGAGGAGAGAACCAGCTTGGCACTCAGATTATTCAATGGAGGGAAATGTTGCATACTGTCTACTGACAGAAGATGGTGAGCCATTAACTTACCATGAGGCTATAAAAGGCCCAGATGCATCTCTGTGGATGACAGCAATGCAAGAAGAAATCGAAGCTCTCCATAAGAATAAAACATGGGAACTTGTCCCGTTACCACGAGGAAGGAAGGCTATTGGAAACAAATGGGTCTATAAGATCAAACGAGATAGCAACAACCAAGTGGAACGGTATCGTGCTCGATTAGTTGTGAAAGGATTTGCTTAGAAGGAAGGAGTTGATTTCAACGAGATATTTTCTCCTGTTGTACGACTTACAACGATTCGAGCAGTCCTAGCGATGTGTGCTGTGTTTGACTTGTATCTTGAGCAATTGGATGTGAAAACTGCGTTTCTACATGGAGAACTTGAAGAAGAGATTTATATGCTCCAACCAGAAGGTTTTGAAGAAGAAGGGAACTTGGTTTGCAGGTTGACCAAATCTCTATACGGTCTCAAACAGGCGCCGAGATGTTGGTATAAGAGATTTGATTCATTCATTCTGAGCCTTGGATACAACAGGTTTAATTCCGATCCTTGCGCATATTGCAAGAGATTTGATGATAATCAGTTTATCATCTTGTTGTTGTATGTTGACGACATGTTGGTAGTAGGCCCCAACAATGATCGTATCACGGAGATGAAGGCTCAACTGGCTAGGGAATTTGAAATGAAGGACTTGGGACCAGCAAACAAGATTCTAGGGATGCAAATTCACCGAGACAGAAATAATAGGAAGATTTGGCTTTCTCAACAGAATTATCTGAAGAAAATCGTGCGGCGCTTCAACATGCAAGATTGTAAGCCAATTTCTACCCCTCTTTCTATTAATTTCAAGTTATCCTCAAGTATGAGTCCTAGCAACGAAGCAGAGAGGATGGAGATGTCTCGAGTACCGTATGCATCAGCAGTGGGCGCTTTAATGTTTGCTATGATCTGCACTAGACCAGACATTGCACAAGCAGTGGGAGCGGTCAGTCGATACATGGCAAATCCTGGTAGAGAGCATTGGAGTGCTGTGAAGAGGATCCTTAGATATATCAAGGGTACCTCAGATATTGCATTGTGTTATGGAGGATCAGACTTCATTATTAGAGGCTATGTTGATTCAGATTATGCAGGTAATCTTGATTGTAGCAAATCCACCACGGGTTATGTGTTTACTCTTGCTGGCGGAGCAGTAAGCTGGGTCTCGAAGTTGCAGTCTGTTGTAGCAACGTCGACGACGGAAGCAGAATATATAGCTGCTACTCAAGCTAGTAAAGAGGCAATATGGTTGCAAATGTTATTGGAGGAGCTCGGGCACAAAGTAGAGAAAATGACTTTATTTTGTGATAGTCAGAGCGCTTTGTACTTGACAAAGAATCCAGCATTTCATTCCAAGACGAAACACATACGGGTCCAATTTCACTTTGTTCGTGAAAAGGTGGAAGAAGGGAGTGTGGATATACAGAAAATCCATACTAAAGATAACCTGGCAGATATGTTAACAAAGCCGGTTACCAACGATAAATTCGTATGGTGTAGATCCTCAATTGGCCTAACAAGTATGCAAGCAGCACGGAATTGGCAGAAAGGATGAAGGTCCACATTGTGACTTTAAGTGGGAGATTTGTAAATACTAAAGTCAAATGTGGAAATGGGCAGAACCTTTTGTTTGATGAGGTTAGGAGCAGGAGCAAACACTTGGTCTGAAGAGCAAGAACACTTGTTCTGAAGAGCAAAATGCTCATCTCTGAAGAGCAAGGTGTTCATCTCTTAAGAGCACGGTGCTCATCTCTTAAGAGCACGATGCTCATCTCTGAAGAGCACGATGCTCATCTCTGAAGAGCAAGATGCTCAATTCGGAAGAGCAGGAGAAAGAGCAAGATGCTCATTTTAGGAGAAAGAGCAAGATGAAGTTGCAGGAGAGGATTTGCTATAAATAGGCAACTCCTCTTCATCCAATCTCATCCCATTCCATCAGGAATTCTCCCATTAGCATAGCAAAGTATAGAGAGTAGAATAGAGAGTTATATTTGTAATTCCTATTTGTAATATCCTTTTGCCAATACAGAAAATCCTTCTTCAAATTGCCTTTATTTTGTGTATGATTTATTTTAAATCTTACACTAGAAATATTCTCATTATTCCCGGTCCGAATTGCCGCTGGTATTTTGGTGTTGTGAACCGTATCGATCCTAACAGAACCTCCAGCCACAAAGCTCAATATAGCACAGTGCCCCTTCGTATCAACACAACAACGAGATAGCCTCCACGAACCACTAAGGCCTACCACTGGCGGTCCACGTCCTTCTCCACCTGGGCCACCTCCTATACCTTCTAGCTAGGTTGGTTCACGTCCACCACCCCCACCAGCTCCTATGGGCTTGAAGCCACCTCAGCCACCACCTGTTCGACAAAGTCATTCATCAACAAGTGCTACTGGAGAGGGAGCAGCCGATGGTCCAAAAACAAAGTTGAAGCCTTTCTTCTGGGACAATGTCCTAGCCAACCCTGATCACTCAATGGTTTGGCATCAGATAAAATCAGGATCCTTCCAGCAAGGCCTTTTAAAATTTTATTTCATTATTATATTGATGCTTAAGTTTTTTGTATATTATTAACATGCCCAATACACAAAGTGATGTTGCTATCTTTTCTTCTTCTTTTATTATTATTATTTTTTTGAACAGGTTTAATTTAATGAAGATGCTGATAAAAACAACACTCCATTGCAAGATGCTTCTAACCACTATATTCAAATTATTGATCAAAAGAAGGCACAGAACTTAGCAATTTTTCTTAAAGCTTTAAATGTGACAACAAAAGAAGTTTGCTATGCTCTTAAGAAGGTGATTATGTTTCCCTTATTATGAGATAAATGCTGCATGAAAATAGAAGTTGTTTCATCTTTTAATGTATTGCGGGAAAAAAAATGGAGAGAGAATAATTAATATCATTGGGGAAAAGGTTCATGCTACCACTGGCTCTGTGCCTTTCAATGAAAGATTTAAGCATTTGTATGTTGTTTGAACTTTGATTATCAGCTATCTACCATCTTTAAAAAAAGGATTCTTGAAATTTGGAATCGAGTATTATTTGCTAACTTCACCTCATTAAATAAATGGCTGCCCTTTTTTTTTTTTTAATAAGGAAATGAGTTTCCATCAGAATTGCTTCAAACTTTGCTGAAGATGGCACCAACATCTGAGGAAGAGCTGAAGCTGAGGCTCTATAATGGAGAGCATTCTCGACTTGGGTATGCTGAGCGTTTTCTGAAAGTCCTAGTTGACGTTCCATTTGCCTTCAAGAGGCTGGAATCATTGTTGTGCACCCTACAAGAAGAAAACAATGGAGTTTTGGGTGTACTGATGGTCTAGATACTCATGAGGAAGAAGAAAGCCATAAAGGAAATGACTTGAGTAGCCCTCGACTTAACGCCAATCAAACTGACGGTTAACGGAAGGATCATTGCTGGAGCAAATATGATAGTCAAGGTTTATTTCGTTCAAATTAAAAAACGAGTACCAATTTTGAAATATCGCAATAGTCGAAGGACCATTGCTGGAATTAACTCTTTTTCAATAGTGACAACGAAGTAACCTCTGTCTTGGAAATAAGCAGCGATATTTACTCTACTCTTAGAAGTTGTAGCCTTGAGAAGAAAGGTAGTTTTTAGCATTTATTATGTCCTTTCAAAAGCTTTCTTTATGGCTATGTATGTGGGTGTAATATGGACGAAAATAAGCAAGTTTTGAAACTTAGACATCAATAGCATACACCTCCAAAATGACTCTAGTCCCAATTGATCATTCCGAGATCAACACCACCATGAATACAGATGAATGCAATTACCAGTACCACCAATGCTATCATCATGACCAAGATCATCAGCCGAAGCCTACCTATCAGGTTTACTGCCGAGCAGACCACAAATACGCGCTCGCTATCCGTAACAGCAAGGTCATTCTCGCCCCATCCAATCCCTCCGACCCTCGTCAGCACTGGTACAAGGAACAAAAGTTTGGAGCCCATGTTAAGGATGCAATAGGCTTACCCAGCTTTGCTCTGGTGAACAAAGCCACCGGGGAAGCCATCCAACACGACGTCTTTGCCGGCGCTTATCAACCGGTACGGGTAGTGAAGTATGAGCCTAATGATGTTGATCATTCGATATTGTGGAGTGAAGCTTGTATCAAGGATGATAATGGGGAGTATATGTTAGACTAAAATATCACATGCATCATATAATATGTGATTATAGGATCGACTAACCTCCAGCCATAGTCTCTGTTACGGTTGAGCGATCCGGACTGCTGCAGAGATAACGAGTATTTTGTCTCTCACTTTACTCAGCTCTCTCTAGATGGTGTATGAGGTATGTAATGTGAGCAGTGAGAGGACTAGTGACCTTATATAACCACTGGCCATCATTGTGGTTGATTATCTTTAGGTCTCCTAAACCCTAACCAGACTCCTAATCATAATGGTAGTCTAGTTATTAGGTTATTAGTGTTGCACCACATATCAAATACTGAATATTATCATAACTTATCCTAATGTTATAATAATAGTAACGGATAAACGTTACATTCTCCCACTTGGTGCAAGCACTACCACTCAATAACAGAAAAACACCAACCATAATGATATGTTCTCATTAGCACGAGTAGTATCCATTATGATCAAATGCAAACTGCCATTGGGCACTTAATTAGGAAACAAAACCCAACGAAATAAACCCTATGTTTATTCCAAGTCCCTGAAGTACATTTTCTCATCAATATAAAGTAAATGAAGGTGTACACACTTAATTGAGAAAATGTCTGAATGCTAAAGAATTTTATTAAAACTGAATGTATATATACAAATTACAAATTGGGCGAAAGTCCCATTTTCTGAATCAGATCCTTGAACTTAAATGGTGGCATGCCTTTAGTCAAGGGATCTGCTAACATCAACTCAGTATGAATGTGTTCAATGAATACAACTTTATTTTTGACACGCTCCCTAATTGCTAAGAACTTGATGTCGATGTGCTTAGTTCGACTTCCACTTTTGTCGTTCTTAGCTAGGAAGACTGCAGCTGAGTTGTCACAGTAGACTTTCAATGGCTTAGATATAGAATCCATAATTCTAAGCCCAGAGATAAAATTCTTTAGCCAAACACCCTGTGAAGTAGCCTCGAAACAGGAAACGAACTCGGCTTCCATGGTAGAAGTAGCTATTAAGGACTGTTTAACACTTCTCCATGAGATAGCCCCACCGGCCATAATGAAGACGCACCCTGAAGTTGATTTTCGAGAATCAACACAGCCAGCAAAGTCCGCGTCTGAATAGCCGACAAGATCTAAATTGTCCGTCTGCCTAAACCCAAGCTTGTAACCTTTGGTTCCTTTGAGATACCTTAGAACCTTCTTTACAGCTCTCCAATGGTCCAACCCCGGATTGTGTTGGTAACGCCCTAGCATTCCAACCGCAAAAGCAATATCCGGCCTCGTACAGACTTGAATATATCCAAGACATCCAACTGCTGCAGCATAAGGGATGTTCTCCATGGATTCCTTCTCCAAATCATTTTTCGGACATTGGTCCAAACTGAATCTATCCCCCTTAGATATGGGAGCAGCGTTCGGTGAACAATTTTGCATATGAAATCTCTCTAAAACTTTGTTTATATAGGTTTCTTGAGATAAACCCAGTATACCCCGGTACCTATCTCTCTGAATTTTAATGCCAATAACATAAGAGGCATCACCCATATCCTTCATATCAAAGTTTTTAGAAAGAAATTGTTTCACATCACGAAGCATCCCCTTATCATTGGTGGCAAGTAAGATGTCATCCACATATAAAACAAGAAAGCAAATTTTACTCCCACTCACCTTCTGGTATATACAGTTATCCGAGGGATTTTCAACAAAACCAAATGAAGAAATTACCCCATCGAATTTGATATACCATTGACGGGAGGCTTGTTTTAAACCGTATATGAATTTCTTAAGCTTACATACTAAATGCTCACCACCCCTAGAAGAGAAACCTTCAGGTTGTTTCATATAAACCTCCTCTTCTAGATCACCATTTAGGAAAGCGGTTTTCACATCCATTTGTTGCAACTCAAGATTAAAATGTGCAACTAATGCCAGAATGACCCGAAGTGAATCTTTCTTTGATACAGGAGAAAATGTCTCCTTGTAATCGATTCCTTCTTTTTGAGTAAATCCCTTGGCAACAAGCCGGGCCTTGTATCTCTCAATGTTGCCTAATGAGTTTCTTTTAGTCTTAAAAACCCATTTACAACCAATGGCCTTGGCCCCATTAGGCAACTCAACGAGATCCCAAACTCCATTGTCCTTCATGGAATTCATTTCATTTTTCATGGCTTCTAACCATAAGTCAGACTGTGCACAATTTGTGGCTTGAGAGAATGTTTCAGGATCATTTTCAGCCCCTATGTCAGATTCTTGTAGATACGAAACATAATAACTAGGAACTGCTGATCGCCTTATCCGAGTAGACCGTCTTAAGGTTGGACCCTCATCACCTTGTACAGGCTGCGGGGCAACTACCTCTTCAGGAACTGGTGGCAGTTCTTGAATCGGTTCAGTCTGCATCGGCTCAGAATCTTGCTGTATATCCTGAGTTGGTTCAACCATTGGTTCGAAATCTAGTTCAGGCGGTTGCTGCAAGTCCTGAACTGGTTCTTCCAAAGGCTGATCCTCAACAGTTTGTGGAATCTCAACGGTAGGTGGTATATCTGCAGACATAACTAAAGGAGCACTACGGATAAGTACAACCCCACCAGATGACGTAGAAGGTTGAGAGTCAATATGATCGAAGGAAGGAACTAAGTCCTTAAACCGATCACTCCCACTAATCAAGTCATCTTCAAGAAATTTAGCATTCCTTGATTCCACTATCCTAGTAGTATGAGATGGACAATAGAACCTATAACCTTTAGAAGATTGTGCATATCCAATAAAGAAAGCACTAATCGTCCTTGGATCAAGTTTCTTCTCGTGTGGGTTATATATCCTCACCTCAGACGGACATCCCCAAACACGCATATGTTGCAAACTCGGTTTCCAACCTTTGAATAACTCAAACGGTGTCTTAGGGACAACCTTGGTTGGAACACGGTTTAATATATACGTTGCCGTCTTAAGCGCTTCATCCCACAACGACTTAGGAAGCTTAGAGTTGCTAAGCATACTCCGCACCATATCCAGAAGGGTCCGGTTTCTTCTTTCAGCTACACCATTTTGGTCCGGAGAACCAGGCATGGTGTATTGGGCAACAATCCCATGCTCTTGAAGAAACTTAGCAAAGGGACCAGGTGCTTGTCCATTCTCAGTATATCTACCATAGTATTCACCACCCCTATCAGACCTAACTATGTGTATTTTCCTGTTACATTGGTTTTCAACTTCAGCTTTAAATGATTTAAAGGCATCCAATGCTTCATGTTTATGATGAAGTAAATACACATAGGAAAATCTTGAGAAGTCATCAATAAAGGTGATGAAATATTTCTGACCAGGTATTGTCATATCAGGACAACATATGTCAGTATGAATAATTTCCAACAACGTTGAACTTCTATTGGCACCTTTCTTTGACTTGTTTGTCTGCTTACCCTTAATGCAGTCAACGCAAGTCTCAAAGTCAGTATAGTCTAGAGTAGAAAGTACTCCATCCTTTACCAACCTTTTAATACGCTCAAGGGAGATATGACCTAATCTCCGATGCCACAACATTGAGGAATTGTCGTTAATACTACACCGTTTGGTGCCGTTTTGAACATGTAAAGAATTGTAAACTGAATCATTCTTTAATTTAAGACGGAAAAGACCATTAGACAATGTACCAGTACCAACACAAGTAGAATAACGAAATAACTTGATATTATTGGTATTAAACTCAAAAGAATATCCGAAGGGTACAAGTCTAGATACTGAAACTAAGTTCCTAGAAAAACTAGGAACATAAAAAGTCTTTTCTAATGTCAATACAAAGCCATTGTCCAAAACTAAATTGCAAACTCCGACAGCTTCTACTGGTGACGCAATCTTGTTTCCAGAGAAGATGCTACACTCAGTTCCCTTTGGCTGTCTCAGTTTTGTCATATCCTGCAAAGAGTTTGCAATGTGGATTGTTGAACCAGAGTCAACCCACCAGGAATTAGTATTAACTTCTGACATGTTAGATTCGAAACAAACGAAAGAAGATGAAATGTTACCTTTTTGGGACATCCATTTCTGAAACTTGATACAATCTTTCTTCATGTGTCCCTTCTTTTTGCAAAAGAAACACTTTTGTATCTTCTTAATGTCTGCTTTCGGGGTTAGTTTCCCCTTAGCAGCTATGGTAAGTCCCTTAGGCTTTCCAGACATTCTTTTAGGCCTTGTTGTGGCCATTAAAGCACTTTCCCCAAGCTCAGTTAAAAGCCGTGTTTCCTCTTGAGTACACATGGTAATCAATTGATTGATAGACCATTCATCCTTATGTGTATTATAGGAAATTTTAAATGCATTATAGTCCTGAGATAGGGTATTTAGTGCAAAGTGCACCACAAAGGCATCTGGAAGAATAATTTTCAACTTCTTCAATTGTGCCGCAATGTCCCTGAGTTCCATGATGTGTTTCCGCGTTCCCTTGACAGTGGAAAGACGCATATTGATAAACTGCATTATCAGGGTACTTGCCAGAGATTTGTTCGCGTCAACAAATTGATCATCAATGGCCTTGAGTAATGGCTCAATGTCCTCAATATCATCGACGGGACCACGAATCTCTCTGGCAATTTTAGACTTAATGAGGAATATGCCTAAGCGATTGGCTGTTGCCCATCGCTCGTATAGCGTTTTTTGTTCCTCAGTGCTTTCCGCAGTAAGCTCAGCAGGCTTCTTAATGCGAAGAGCATAATCAAACCCTAATATTCCTAAATTCAATAAAACAGCGTCTTTCCACTCTTTGTGATTGTCATAATTAAGGATAGGAATATCAATTGTTATTGATTGAGTGATTGGAAGAGTGACTGTAAAAGAAAAATTGAAAGCTTGGTTAGAATATTTTCGAGGCACAAAATTAGAGAGAGATACTGAAGTACACAATATTACCAATGTAAAATTATGCAAAAGATAAATTCGGATGCCATAAAAATTGCCTGTGGGCTAAATTTTTACGCATAATGAATTTACCAAAACTGAATGGTGGAAACGAAATGGGTGCGATTTTAATTTTTCCACCCTTAATGACAAAACTACCAAAACTATATGCCGATACATAATCCCTGTGGGCAAATTATGATCATAGTATGGTATTTCATCCTAATTCACCCTACAAATATAACAAAATTGCCTGTGGGCTAAATTTTGCCATATCACGCAGAGTGAATTACAATATTCTTGCATTAACTTTATGTGAGTAAAACTTAATATGTAATTTTGGAAAAATTAAAGATGTTGTGGCTACTCTTTAATTAACCAAAGAACATAATCACATTAGCAAGAAAACCTAATAATCAAACAGATTAAACCAAAATATGATAGACAATCCTTAGGTATACTCCCAGGAAAGTTGGTCGAGACGAAGCTCGGTTAAATACCAACTCCTTAGACAGAGTAGCGTCGCAAGGGGACTAGTAGCAACAAGGCTTTTAAGCCAGGGCCATAGAACTAGTATTCCTCCCCAAGAAACTTCCCTAATTCATGTGTTCTCATTTTTGAAGTAAAATCGTTTGAGAGATCTAAAGAGTAGTTTCACCTATGGATAAGGCTTTGAATAGGGTAAAACTACGAATTGTTTATGTACTTAATGTTCTTTAGGAACTTTATAAAACACGAGTGGAGTAATAACTGAAGGTTGAGTAATAATATGCATAATCTAACCTGAAAGGCACTAATTCACATAAAAGGCACTAATTCAGGCATAACATATAATTCAGACCTAAAAGGCTCTAAATTTTTCTTAATGAACATGCTTTTCTACAGGCATAATTATAACAGTCAAATAATTATTGCAATAAAAAGATAAATAGCATGCTCAGATTATGCATATTACTCACAAATACTCCACAATTAAATTGCAACACTTAATACAATTTAAACTGAAAAACATTATTAAATTAAAATTCAACTGAAAAATTAAAACTGAATAATTATTCAAAGTTGAATAATAATTTAATAATGGACTTAATAAAAAAAAATTCAATTGGATAATTTAGTTAGAAGAAGTCCAAATATGATGAAGATATTAAACTGAATGAATTGATGTAGTCCAAATATCAATTCAGGTTTGACCCAAAACCATAACAGGCCCAAAAAAAAACAATAATAATAATAATTTTTTTTTAATTATGAGCCCAGGTTTGGCCCAATTGGGCCAAACCTGGCCCAATAACTTAGACATCATTCATCATCTTCTTCGTGTAGACTACAGCAGCGCAGACAGGAGACCAGCAATGTATGAAGTGGCCGGACGAATCCGCCGTAGCCATGTCGCGAAGCAGAAAAAATATCCAATTTTTTTTTTTTTTTTTTTGTTTCTTAATGCGGAATAAAAACTTAATTTCCAGCAGCCCAGACAATATAATTGCATACTAAAGAATATTCACATAATCTCAATTATATAACAAAGTATATAAAATATGCAAATATTTAAGCAATTGAAAAAAAAACTAGGCAGAGATTATTTATGGCGACTGATACCAACTGTTAGACTAAAATATCACATGCATCATATAATATGTGATTATAGGATCGACTAACCTCCAGCCATAGTCTCTGTTACGGTTGAGCGATCCGGACTGCTGCAGAGATAACGAGTATTTTGTCTCTCACTTTACTCAGCTCTCTCTAGATGGTGTATGAGGTATGTAATGTGAGCAGTGAGAGGACTAGTGACCTTATATAACCACTGGCCATCATTGTGGTTGATTGTCTTTAGGTCTCCTAAAGCCTAACCAGACTCCTAATCATAATGGTAGTCTAGTTATTAGGTTATTAGTGTTGCACCACATATCAAATACTGAATATTATCATAACTTATCCTAATGTTATAATAATAGTAACGGATAAACGTTACAGTATAAAGCAATTAGGGTGGTGAACAACATTGGCGTGAACTTGGATGCATTTCGCGCTATGAAAGAACATGGGGGAGTCCAAGATGGTACTGTTATTGGTCTGTGGGAATGGAACCGAGGAGACAACCAACGTTGGAAGATCATACCCTATTGATCATTTAAATGGGCCTAGCTAGCTTGTTTTGTGATTTCTTTTTGGTGTTCTGTCTTACCATCATGACTTGCTACCCTAGTATTAAATAAAATATTCACTTTTCAAACAAAGAACAATGAGATAAGTTTTCAAAAAAAAAAAAAAAAAAAAAAAACAATGAGATAAAATGCTACTTGAAGATCAATATAATATTGTGTTTTTTTACCTTTGAAAAAATTCATGTCTCATATTTTCTCTCTTTCCTATATATCTAATTATGTATGTATGTGAGTTAGATTGACCATTTCTATTTAATGACTATTGGTACTAATAAGAAGAAATTGAAGAACCAACTAAAATTTAAAAACTAATGAGGAGAGGGCTGCTTAATTAGCTTGATCCTGAGAGATCCTTTTGAACTATTTGTTGAAACCGGTGGTGTTTCTTATTGCATGTTTAAGGCCGGGATTCAGAAAGAGTTGTTGGAAACACTTTAGGCATATTACAGGTGTTATTAGGTTTTTTGTTTTGATTAAAATTGAGTTATGAAATATAAACACGTTTTGGTTAAAGAGTTATGTTTTATGTTATAATTGCTATTTTTATTTTTACTTGAATTCTCTTTAACATATTTTTATGTACTTTAATTAATTTCAAAAATAAAATTAATAAACAATACAATGATAAAATATAAAAGTAAATGAATTAAAAATAATTAATTAAGAGATTCAACTTGAGAAATTAAATGACAAAATTAGTAAAAAAGACAAGGGATTGTGAGAATACTTTGACGTGGCAATTTGGAAGGTGAGAGATTAGACGACCTAATTGGCTTTATTGAGGCCTAGGTCATTTGTCCCAGTAATATTATCTGCCCCTTCTTGCCTTATAGGAATAAGAATAGTATAGTAATACGATATTATTTCCGACAGGCCAATTCGGTGGAGTTTATTATAGTGAGGACTGAGGAGTTTAAGTATGCCATGGATTTGGGTTACACTATTATATATATATACCACTCCGGGGATATTTGTTTGAGAAGAAGGCCAACCCCTTCGAAGCCTTTGTCATATGTGTATAAGACTCTAATGAACTCCTTCTACACGTCAGCCCAAATCATTACAATTAGAAGATACATGTGTTTGGTTTAAAACTGAGGTATGTATTATAAATTTGTTTGGTTGAAGTGTTATTTTTATTATTATTATATTTAGTTGAATACCGCAAACCTATTTTTATGTATTTGAATAAATTTAAAATTTTAAAATAAATAAATAAAGCAATAGTATAATATAGAAGTAAATGATTTAAAATTAATTAACTAAGAGATTGAACAATAATTAACTAAGGCAATTGATTAAAATAACAAAATTAGTAATAAGACAATGAAATGTGAAAATACCTAAGAAAGGGGGCATATCCCACATTTTCTTGCAATAGCCAAAACCTTATGTGGAGGTTATGTTATATTTCCAGAAAAAATTACATAACTCAAACCAAAAATAATAATCTTATATTCCCCCGGCCAATATTACATTGGTTATCGTATATAACTTGAACCAAACGCCTTAAGGTTTCAAGAAATGAAAAATAATTAATTGTTCGAAAGTTAAGGATCCAACACATTAGGACACATTTGGTTGGCACGCACTCATGTTATGACTTATGACCTCGGTTTGGGCAATTTGGTCAAGTATAAATGTTTTTATAAAATTCGTGAGTCTTGAATGCAAGAGATACCTAACTGGTCCTATTCAATTCTAATTAAATTTGATTATCTGAGTTATGATGTATCACACAGAGAAACATACAGAAATGATTAACGAAAAACCAGATATGTTTACGCAATTCGGAGAAAACTTTTCCTACGTCTGCGAGGCCACTCAAAAGTGAAACCCAATCCCGCTAGATGATCATAGATTTATTTCATCAACTCAATCTCCATCATCTTCTTGACTTAATAGCAGGTCTTCACTTTTCACAGAATACAACCTTCACTTCTTGCAAACCTTAAGGCGTTGGTTCAATTTATATAAGAAAACCAATTTTATATTTGGAGAATATAAGATTCTTATGTTTGGTTCACGTTATGCAATTTCCTCTATCAATGTAACATAACATCCACATAAGATTTTGGCTACTGCAAGGGAATGTGATCCTTTCTTAGATATTCTCATACTCCTTTGTCTTATTACTAATTTTGTTATTTTGATCCCTTACTTTAGTTAATTATTGTTCAAGCTCTTAGTTAATTAATTTTAAATTATTTACTTCTATATTTTGCCCTTTATTTATCTATTTATTTTAAAATTTATTCAAATACATGCATAAAAATAGGTTAACGATATTCAACTAAAAAAAAAAAAAAAAAAAACTCTTTCAACCAAACAAATTTATAATACATATTTCAGTTTTAAACCAAACACAAATCTAACAATCTCAACAATCTAATATTCCTTTTTAAAGTGATATAACATTATGTGAACCAAACATTCCCTAAAAGGTGTTTGGTTCAAGTTATATAGGGTAGAAAGGTTATTATTTACTAGGTAATAGAAGATTGTCATGTATGGTTCATATTATGTAATTTTTCAAGGGAATGTAAATTAACATCCACATAATATTTTTAGAAATTTAAAGAGAATGTGAAATACATTTCCCATCAGTGTTCTAACAATCCCTTGTCTTTTCACTATTTTGCCATTTCTCAAGTGCAATATCTTAATTAATTATTTTTTAATTCATTTACTTTTATATTTTATCATTTTAGTATTTGTTTATTTTATTTATGAAATTTATTGAAATACACAAAAAGATGTTAAGAGTATTAAAGTAAAAATAACAACATATATATATATATATATATATATATATATATATATATATATATATATATATATATATATATAATTACATAAAGCATAACTCTTCAACCAAAACAGGTTTATATTTCATACCTAAGTTTTAACCAAAACAGAAATCTAAAACGTAATATAACATTCACACCAATTTAATATTCTCTAAGGTAATCTAACTGATGTACGGGAAAGAGGTGGTCAGTATACGAGTGTAAAATTGTCGTTCCGCTAGGGATTGGGATTATGACACGTACTTGAGCGACAACTAAAATTCTAGGCACCAAAGTATTGGAACCCACAAGAATCCAAAAAAAATTCATATTCATGGTTGAGTAAATGTCAACAATTAGAGGCTAAAAGTCTAAATTAAGATAACACGAATTTAAACACAAGTAAACACAATAAAAAGAGATGGGCTCAAATTAGGGGATGTTGCCCTCTAGATGGTTTAACAACTTAGGGATTAGGGGAGAACATCAACCAAAGGAACATAGAGGCAATGCACATAAAAATCCTAGGCTTAAAGCCATTTTCATGAGCTAAAGAACAATGATTGCCCCACTCCCGTGGTGTATCAATTCCTAGCTCTTAAAGTACATAAGCATTTAGGTCCCTAATTCTTTCCTATCTTCACCCAACTCTCATTGTTGAGAAGAACTATCCAAAAGCAAGTTAATAAGAGTTACGTACCAAATATTAACAAGATTCAACATAAATTCTTCACAAACAAATGAACCCTAGGTTAGAGTTCTTCCCCCTTATGCAATAATCACCTACTAGTAAAGTACCCGTGCGATGCACGATATGGATATTTATCAAGTTATTACAAAATAGAATAAATTATTAAATTAACATTTTGGAATTACAAAATCGAAACAATAATGTAAATACGTTTACACACAATATAACAAAATAAGTGTTGATGGTATACAATTACAAATTATTGAAGATTTCATGATAGACCACATTGGTTGTTGATGTAGCACCTGTTTTTGACTCGTTGGCAATCAATATTTTTAGACCTCTTGGGTTGTTAACTCGAGATGCAGCCACGTATAATTGACCATGCACAAAAACTGGTTTTTTAAGTAACAATCCAACATGTGACAATGTTTGACCTTGACTTTTGTTAATAGTCATTGCATATGATAACATCAACGGGAATTGTCTTCGTTGAAACTTGAATGGCAGCCTGGTATCAGACGGTGACATTGACATTCTGGGTATCAGTACTTTTGTTCCTTTGTTAGCACCATCCATTAATTCAGCTTCAATTACACGGTCTGCTAACTTGGTGATTACCAATCGCGTACCATTACACAAACCAACTGAGTGATCAATATTTCTTAACAACATGACTGGTGAACCAATCTTTAGGGTTAGTGCATGGTTTGGAATACCTGAAGCTCTAATGCCATTCAAAAATTCAGGTGTGTGCACATCACCAAGTATTCCAGCATCTGCATCAGCTTTGCATATTGTGTCGCAACTAAAATATGTTCTACTTTCAGCCGTATGCAACTCACTCATATACTCATTCACTGAGTTTACTACCTCTAGGGTAGGTGCCAAAATAGCACGCCCTTGCAGATAACTTGCATTAGAATTACCATTTGCAAAAATAGGAAATGTACTTCTAACAATTGTTTCAATATGGTCACCATTGGACGGTAGTAACATAGTACTGGGTATTTCTACTTCTGCATACCCATCATTAGGTCCACCAATCTTACCATCACCAATTGAAGCTATCCAATTTGCAAATTCTTGCGTAGCTTGTTGTTCTACAGGGTCTTGCATAGCATTCAAGCGCAAGTTCTTTGTGAGCCTCATTATCCTGCAACTGTTCCACAAATATGAAGAATTGATAAATGCAGAAACTATGTCTTGTCTAGTACCTTTAGGGACTACGGGTAAAATTTGACGGAAATCCCCACCTAGTACTACTGTTTTACCACCAAAAGTCTTGTTGGAACTGTTAAGGTCTACAAACCGTAACAAATCCCTCATGGTCCGATCTAGTGCTTCAAAGCAATACTTGTGCATCATCGGGGCTTCATCCCAAATTATTAAACTTGTTTGTATCAATAAATCAGCTTACTGGCTACCTTGTTTAATGTTACATGTCGAGTCTTCATTTATTGATATTGGTATTGCGAACCTTGAGTGTGCAGTTTGTCCACCAGGCAACAACAACGAAGCTATACCACTTGATGCCATATTTAAAACAAGCTGGCCTTTAGACCGTAGTTCAGAAGATAATGCTCGCCACATGAATGTTTTACCAGTGCCACCATACCCATATACAAAAAACAAACCACCCCGTTTACTTGAAATATCGTCTAAAACAGTATCATAAATAATTCTCTGCTCTTCTGTCAATTTTTCACACAACTCAAGAGCTTCTTGTTGTAGAAACTCATGATCATATGATAACTCTTCAAACAACAATCTATTCTGGACCAACCTAGAGTTAGTCATCTCTGGAATAGGCATGGGGTGGTAATCCTTTAAAGATCTATTCTGTTGTTCCAACAATTTGTCCAACTCAAGTAGCCCATAGTTTTTCTTCTCATCGTCAGTTAAACACAAGTCTGTTGTAATTTAAAAAAGAAAAGTCAGACTTGAGAAATCAACAATATTTATACTAATTGAATAAGTGTATATGTATAATAGTTCAAACCTGGTTGTTGTAATATTCTTCTTTGACAATGTTGAGCATCCTCACACAGATGTTGCCACACCTAATTCCAAACATATTCTGGTCTAATCATGGAGCTCGATGTTAATAGCACTACAAACAACTTCCTTAATAAGTGAGCAGTGGACCAAAAACTTGCTTCTACAATAGCATCAATGTACTCTTTATCATCGTCCAACAGACCGTGGGCATAACATGCATCCCTAAATGTACTATACTCAACTCCATTGTGTGTCCTAATATCTTTAAAACTGGAAGGACCACACACGATGTTCAATAAGCACCTTAAATAATATAATTCACCTGAGGCTGGTGGAACATAGAATATCCGGCCAATGGAAAAGCCCTTCTTTCTTGGATGCCATTCATGACTGTCCTTTTTCCAAACAAATTTTGTAGGCATCTCGATGTAACTTAACTGCCTCGCTTCTGCATACTTCTGATTTGCTATGAACCATCCATTGAACATACTTTCTGCAACTGATTCCCTATTCAAAACGCGATCAATGCTATCATCGTCTTGGAAAACAACAGATTGGCAATCCGGGAGGTGAAAGCTTAGCCTCTCAACCGGAGGGGTTCTATATTGCACCTCGAACTAAATAAGCGCCACATTGCTTCACACGCAGAAATGTATCGGCAATCGTAGTACATGTTGATTTCATCTACAACTTCATTACCAATATCATCAGTCGTGGTCTTATAAAACTCAGCAGTGACACGGTCATTACCTTTGTTAACGTACTTGAACAAATACTTGATTGACTGTGATTGGTTGCACCATTCAACATTAATGTGAGCCTTGTACTTCAATAGTAAGTATCGATTATGAGGTACAATATTAACTGTTATCCAGCTCTATACCGCTCTTTTTTACCACCCTGCTGTCATTTCGTCTACGGTACAATGGGTAACCATCTTGATCAAATTGGGATGCATCAATGAATCTCTTAGGGAAATGTTTTGAACACTTGTCATTTACCATACATGGTGAATTCCTTTTAGCATGACCGCAAGGTCCATGAACCATGAATTCCTCAACTGCCGTATAAAATAGGAAGTACGCTTATCCGGAATCTCAGCAGAAATAATCGAATCCATGAATGTTGGGCTAGAGAAATCATCATGCTTTTCCAAGAATAACAATATGTGCGCATGTGGTAAACCCCTCTTTTGAAATTCTATTGTGTAAATAACTGCAAACAAAAAGAATGATTAAAATGTTTTTTTAAATTGTATTATATCTCCAAAAAAAATATAAAAATGTTAAAGAATTAATACCAGCTTTGACACGGCCAAATAATTTTCCTTTTTTAATGTCTTTGATCATTGCATCCAATTTCATCTTGAACACACGACAAACTATGTCTGGCCTATCTTCTGCCTTCAAGTTCCTTTTCTCCAAAAATCGTTGAATCTCAGGCCATTTAGGATTGCATGTAAATGTAATGAATAGGTTTGGATAACCTATAAACCGACAAATAACCATAGCATCTTGATAGTTTTGTATCATGTACCTTGCACCGCCGGTAAAACTTGATGGTAATATTATTCTTTTGCCTTGACTGCTGGGTTGAACCTCACCTCTAGTCAAGGCATCTGAGAGACCTTTGTATGCGTCACATCTCAAACCTTTTTGATTTGCCCTTATATAACACAACCTAGCAGATTCAACTATTGTATACGCATCCACTAAGAATTGTTGAAATAACCTCCTAGCGTATAGTAAAGTTGATATCTCAGTTAACCTTTCATGAACACGGAATGCAAAATACTCCCTTTGAGACACACTTTTTCTTGACCAATTTTGTTTAGTCAGTGTTGTTGAAAATCGAATGTCCTCCTTAAATCCATCCTCACCATAAGGGAATAAAATTGGGTATTGCAATGGCAAATATGCTGGGTTTAATTCACTAATTCTTTTCAAACCTCCAGTCTTACATTCTACTAAAATGTCCCGCTCACCCATCGTTGGCTCTAAATCTCCTACGATCAGAGCGGCAACCTCAGATGCAGTTGGTAATGTATAAGTTCGTGCATCTGTAGCCCTCCTACCTATTAGTCTCATTTTAATCTCAGCTGAGGGATTACAATCAAGAAACTTCTTGGCCATACGGAATGATTTCACGAACACATTATTGTTATCTAACACCTCTTTAATGTCATGAACAACTTCTTCATGTAGACCCACTTGGTTGCTATCGCCTCTACAAACATTATAACGTTCAACAATAAAAACTATTGTTAGAGAAATCTTAAATAGTTTGGGTTGTGAATCAAGATCTATTACTTGAAATAAGTATATACCTAACACATTGCATACGATTTTCTATTTCATTTGCTGTGTCATGAATATAAAGTTGCGCAAACTTCGGTTGAACTCCATCTGTAGGTAAAAGACTTCCAATGCGATGGAAGTTTTGACCATTTATACGGAATATTGGTGGTGAAGTACCATTATTAATTGATCTATCAACTTTACCACCCATAGATGTGAAACAAAACATGTTATTATAGGACCGTATATTTTGTAGAAAACATTTATTTTTCTCGCTTGGTACAAAAAACAAATCATGTAACTTATTAGGTGGCTTGTTCATCAATGGTAACTTTATTTTTCCATTCACACAGCAACTGGAGTACTTTGGGGCAGCGTTTGGCCTTGATGCAGCTGACCGTTCGATTCCCCAAAAGATTGCATTATTATACATAGTAGCATGGAATTAATTAGTAGGACAATTATATTAGGTAATCTAATTAATAATTTACTTTTTAAATTATATTTTCTTTTTAATAATGAATATTTTCTTAAAGTATATACACAGATTATGCTTATCAATATAGAATTAAAAGTGTATAGATGTATAATATTATTAGTACAAAATCAATTATATTTGCCTTAATAATTAATTATTAATATTATTGCCTAATAATTATGTGTTGTCATCTTTTTCGGGGTAATTATTATGGTAATTTATATACATATATATTTGTATACTTAATGTATAATATTATTGGGCACAAAATAAATATACTTACCTTAATATATATAGATTATTTTTAATATAATTTCCTAATTTATTAAAGGTAATTATTCTCATAATTTTTCTTTCCTTCTTTTGTGTAATTATTATGGTAATGTATTTAAATATTGGAAGAGAAAAAATGTTATAATTAATATAATTAATGAAATTATTATTGTAATTGCCACAATATTTGATAATTATAAATATAATTAAGAAATTTGAGAAATATAAGATTTCTTCCGTAGAAATATTTGTGACAATTTCATTAAATTATAATTAATAAAATATGAAATATAATTAAAGAAATGAAATTATAAAATTAACAAAACATGAATATTTATAATTTTTTTAAATATACATACATACACTTTTTAAATTTCTAAATATAATTTTTTAAGTATAAATCTATCAATATAAATTAAAATTAATGAAATTATATTATAATTTTCCTATATACATATTAATAAATATTATGTGTATATACAATGTATTATACAATCATATAAGGATATGTGTCCGATTAGAGTTTATATTTGTTCATACAAAATTTAGAATTTACATTTTTATTGATTTCTAAGTACAATTCTCTTAGTTATTATTATTCATATTTTTAGAATTAATAATATATATATATATAATACAATTTCGAATAAATCAACTTAATTATATTAATTTTTTCTATAAATTTATCTAAATATGTACATGATTAGAGATTATATTAACCATACAAAATTTAAATTTAAATTTTGTATGTTATGAAAATAGATACTTGACCAAATATATAAAAGTCCAACTATATTATTATATTGTACATTTTAACATTTTTTTTATTTTTTATTTTAATTTTAAATTCATAAAAACAAAAAAAAAAAAAAAATTCCGTGCAACACACGGGTAAAACACTACATTTAAAAAAAAAATACAATTTCATAAATATCATAAATTAATTAGTACAATATCATTTATAATTATAACCATTAAAGAAAAAAAAATAATTTCAAATATATGAACCAATGATTTCAAAATGAAACTAATATACAGTTACAAATAAATATAGCATAATTAGATTTACTTTAATTAGTTTTAATTCCCTTAATGATACGACTTTTCTTTATCAGTTTTTTGTGGGAGACTAAGGGAGTATTTGAGTTGCTGGAAATTATTATTATTTTTTGAATACTTACTAATAAAAAAATTAAAATATTTTTTATCCCCTCCCCCCCCCCCCCCCCCCAATAACATGTGTAAATCTTATATTTTTTAAAATTACAATTTGATAAATATTATAAATTAATTAGTAGAATATCATTTCTGTTTATAAATTATAATAATTAAAAAAAATTCATATATGTGAACCAATGATTTCAAAAATGAAATTAATATACAGTTACAAATAAATATAGCATGATTTGATTTACTTTAATTAATTTTAATTTCCTTAATGAAATGTCTTTTCTTTTATCAGTTTTTTATGAGAGGCTAATGGAGTGTTTGGATTGCTATAAAATATTTTAAAATAAAAATTCATACTAATAAAAAATCATTTTAAAATATTTTTTTAACCCCTCATAACATGTGTAAATCTTATATTTTTAAAAAATACAATTGGATAAATATCATAAATTAATTAGTACAATATCATTTCTGTTTATAATAATTAAAGAAAAAATAAATAATTGAAATATGTGAACCAATTATATCATAATAAATCTTTCAAAATTTAAAACAAAAGAACGGAAATTAAAAATAGAACGAAAATATTTCAATAATAATATTCTACATCATCAAGTAAAAGTAAATTAAAAATGAAAAGATAATATTTTAATAATAATATTCTACATCATCAATAGTAAAGGCATATTTTAAACAATAGTAAAGGTAAATTAAAAATGGAACGGAAATCCTTTCAAAAAAAAAAATGGAACGGAAATATTTCAATAATAATATTCTACATCACCAATTAAAAATATAACTGAAATTAGGTAAAAATACCATTGCATATGATATTCTAATTGATTAATTGACGGAAAATAAAAAGAATAATTGGTTGAAAATGAATATGATATTACTAATTGACTGATATTTTACGATGATATATTTTCACCCGAGTCACCCATTCTAATGGACTGAAGATGTTAGCTATAGACGATGACGGACAAAATTATGTTGCTACTACCAATGTCTTCTACAATATGAGGTTTTAATAATGTGTAAATACAATTGGTGATATTATGTTTTTTATTAATGACAAAATTGCTATATATCTACACACAAAAAAAATAAAAAAATTTTAAAGCAATTTAGACAAAAAAAAAATATTTTTCATACAAATGAATTAGGATAGCAATTCATTCCTATAACTGAGTTGCTAAAGAATGGGCACGTTTGCCTAATTTATAAAAATACTAAACAATGATAAATAAAAGCTTCAAAGTTACAACACTGCATGCGTATATCTACACATTAGCTATTAATTTGAGCAATTATTTGTTTAAATTCAAGCAACGATAACATCAAAACATATAAACGATCCAAACTATATCTTCAATTGCACTATATAATATTTAATGTTCTAATTTAAATAATTATATATCAATCCAGATATTCTTAATATATTACAACAAATTCACGGGCGAAACCATATCTTTAATTGCACTATATAATATTTGAGTTATTACTGAAAAAATCAGTCTTTAATCACGGTTAATTGTATGTTACTTTTTTCCGAGTCACCCATCCTGATAGTCTGATAGTTTTAACTTTAGACGATGATGGATAAAATTCCGTTACTACTACCAATGTCGTCTAGCTATAAAGAGATTTTCAATAATGTATAATTTAAGCCATTGATATTATGTTTTTTTTATATACAAAAATGACAAAATTGCTATATAGCTGATCTACATAGAAAATATATATTCCGTATAAATAATTTATATAACTGAGTTGCTAGACAACGAGCTAATTAGCCCAATTAATACAAATTATAAACACTGATATATAAAATCTCTAAAGTTGCAACACCGAATGCGTATATCTACACGTTAGCTATTAATTGGGCAATTATTTATTCGAATTCAAGCATTGATAACATCAGAAAACATAATCGGTGCAACTCAATTCTTCAATTATATTATATAATATTCGATTTTATAATTTATACAATTGTATATTGATATAAATATTTTTAAAATTTTATAACAAATTCATTCCGTGCAACGCACGGGCGCAAATACTAGTAATTAAGTAATAAATATATTTAAGAAATTAAGTAGATATATTTTGTTAAATAAAAATAAAAGAGTTTCCTAATAAAATAAAGTCTTAGATATTTTGTAAAAAAGGACCTGATTAATATTGACTTTGATTTGTAATGATGTGGCATCTTCTCCTTTATCGTCGGTGTATAGCATCTATACACTAGCGGTGCATCAAATATTAATCCATGTTTTATTCTTTGTTTGGTTCAAGTGATGAGATTACCTGGTAATGTTATATTACCTAAAAGCTGATCTGGTGGTAATGTTTCAAAGTAATGTGATTACCCCCATTTTTTAGGTAATCTTAGATTACCTTGAATTATTTCAACTTTGTCCTTGTTAACTAATCCTTATCCTTATATAATAATAATAATAATAAATATATATTTATATAATCAAATATACATGTGTGTATATTTACATATTTAATTTTTTTTTAATATTTAAGTATTGATATACATTCATACATATAAATAAATAAATACACACATATAAATAAATAAATAAATAAATAAATAAATAAATAAATATAAATATAAATATATATATATATATATATATATATATATATATATATATATATATATATATATATATATATATATATATATATATATATATATATATATATATATATATATATATATATATATATATATAGGGTCGGGATCAGGTGAGGACCTAATCTTTGGTGAGGACGTGAGGACTAATCTAGACCATTAAATCAGAATGATGTATGACTGAGATTAAAAGAAACAAATCACACGGATTAAGAAAACAAATCCCTTTAAAATATTAAAAAATATAAATTTAGGGTAAATCAGTCTTATTAAAAGATGTGCATTCCTATACAAAATGTTGTGCATTCCTATACTGAGTGTTGTGTATTCCTATACTGAGTGTTGTGCATCAATAACTTCATTGTTGTGCATTCAAACCCCGCCAAAAAATCATACAGTGAACATCCAATGTTCTACGATGCATTGAGCTATGTGCTATAATGCACAACTCCCTAGCCTATAGTGCACAACTTACAACACTAGGTTGCACAATCAGCACACACGAATGCACAATCGTACTACCCAGGCATTTACACATATACACGACAATCCAAAAATAGACAATATTATACTCAAAAGAACAAGTGAAAAAAAAATAAAAAATACTGATTAGTTTGCATGGGCGAACACTAAATCAATGATG